TCAGGAAATTTCTCCTCAGTTCTAAGTTGCTTCTCTCCTTGATTAGTTTCCACCCACTGCTTCTTGTTCTATCCTCAGGTGCAAATAAGTTAAAGTGTAAGTTAAAAATATTGTCTCTCTATATCAACTAGGTTAAATATATTCATATTTGCATTGAGGGCAATTTACCTCTGAATATTAACTTATTTTTTAAATTTTCATTTCAATTGATTATGGATCCATGACCGAAAATCCCCAATAGCAATTATAGTATGTGACCTACTTGCAAGTAAAAAGGTTTTTGCAAAGCAGTTATATGAAATATTTGGCTTATCTCTAGTTGAACCATAAAATGTGTTCTTTTTTAACCCAGACCATCCAACTTCCTCAATTGTGAACCATCGCAATATAATAGCCATTGTGAATAAATGTTATTGTGAAACTTTCCCTGATTAACAATCTTCTGGCCAAAATTTAATTTCCACTTATGTAAATCTGATCCATCCATTTTCTAGACGAAATGCTTTTTAAAAAGAAAACATATATTTCTTGCAAGATATAGACATATAAGATATACACAGAGATAACATCAGACTTCATCTTAGTTTGCTAAAAATATTACCATTTAATACTCCATGATGCAAACTGCACCATCATTTAGAAAGAAAAAAGAAAATAAAGAATCAGAAAGAGAGATTCCCACAAAGGGTAACAGCCAACCAATTACTAGAATTATGTTATCCCTCTGTCCCTCACTTACTTCTTGCCCAACTGGCGGGCCACATCACAGTGCTTGAATCCTTCAAGATTGTAGAGCCTTTTAGCTAGTCTTTTCGCAGCCTCACTGTGTGCCTTGCAGCCATTGATAAGAGTGTCCGTGCTTCCCTGGTCAAGTTGTTCTGTGCTGCCCATATCAGAATCTGAATCCGAAAGGCCATCTTTTATGTTGGCATCACTAGAATAACAAAAACAGCTTTGATTAGATGTTAAATATCTGATAATCCCAAAATTGCTTCTTTTTCCTACTCTTCAATTAAAAGTGATCAGATTTTTAAATCTATTGTTCTCCGATATTTTGACATTTTTTCCATTAATGTTATTTTTGTATTTTAGAAGTTACCTTTAAAGCCAATGGCCAAGATTAGGCCATTGATGCTGTTTTGTGTGAGTTTAAGAGTGGAAACAGGAGTAAGGCAAACTCTATAGGAGACAAACAATTCTCATTCTCATCTTTAACCCCACCAACACTACAGTAGCACAAGTAATCCTGAAAAATGACAATATGGTGCCTTTGGGAGCTTGAGGATGGAAATAGGCACACACTGATGATCAGAAGCCTCCAGGTCCGGCTTCCACCCTTAAAAAACCTTCTCGTAACATCATCATGACAGTGGACCGTCTCTTCTTGGAAGGTCAGGTGTCTCATCTGCAGTCTTGAAATCTTTACTAATGAACAATGCAACTTGCCACTCTATTCTTCAGTTAAAAGAAATGGGAGAGCTCTTCCTATTTCAGTCTTGCACCTATAATGGGTTGAAGGGAGAAATATAAGGGGCTGGCAGTGAATCCAACTGAGAGCAGGGGTTGGTTGGGGCTAGTTCAGTAACAGAGAAGTCTGACAATTACCCAACTCTATTGTAAAACATCTGATAAATGCATTTTAATGCTTATGGCAATAATGATGGTCTAAAACAAGAGTTTTTACAGAGTCCGCAACGTCACTATGTGGCCAACCTTCCTTCAATTGCTGAACAGTCTTTATCCTGCACTTTTAAAAGTTTGTTTTTTTAAAGAAATAGAGCAGCCATCTTATCAGTCAGCAGCTCAGCAGAAAATAGGTGCTCAGGGCAGTAACCAAGCCCAAGGGAAGAGGCATGGCAAGCCGATGCAGCTAGTCACAGCTGTGGCTATTAACTAAATTAGAATGAAGCATTGGAAACAATCTGCTCTGAAGGGTGGAAGGTGGCTTGGATTGTTTTTGAATTGTTGCTAGAAAAGACACGTTGAAAATGGAGTAGGAAAAGAGCATGATGTGCGTTCCTGCACTCCAGAAGAGATGAGTGACACATACTGTATTGGCCACAACCTAAGTGAGATATGCGGATATGTTCAAAGTGTAAAAAGTAGAAAAGGATTTTTTTGAATTCTATTAGCCTATTATTATTAAGGTAATTAGTAAATTGGTACTTTGACCTGACTGTGGCTGACATTTTTAAACATGTCCTATATTCTATTAAATCTCTTTACCGACTCTTGGGATTTAACCTGCTTTCTTGATCTAGATTTTGCATTGACTTTCAGCATGCATGTTTAAAGTGGAAGATAATGAGACTGATATATTTGTACTGTGCAAAAGGAATCCACAAATATACTAAGAATAAATTGGTACTGCTTGCCATGCCGCTTTGCTATAAATTTATGCTTTCAACTCTACATATCTTGTTTGGTAAAACATTAAGATTTGATTATAAAAATAATTCATACAAATCAAATTTTACAAATCTCAATGTAGGAGGCTGGGTACAATAGGCAAAGCTTCCATTGTAGTTCCATCATTTGCATAATAGCATTCCAATAATGACATCATCCCAGGTGATCTTTGTGCGTAGATGTATATTTGATAAATTGTATTATCTTTTTCATTTTACTTGAAAGACTTGGAAAACAAATTCATACTGGCCTTTAACATTTAATTCCAGAGAAGCTCTGTTGACCCTTTTTCCCATATAAAAACACTGCCACACAATAATTGAATACAGTTCTGGTTCTTGTTTATTTGTCAGAGTTTTATCATGTCTTTCATCTAGAACAGTGCTTCCCAAACTGTTTCCTTCATTAATGAAAACTCCTCACTAGAAAGTTCTTATTTATATAATCCTGATGTAAGATGTTTAACTAGTTTGATCTAATGGTTAAGCAATAGGCTGGAAACCGGCAGGCCATGAATTATCTAGTCCTGTCTGAGCCATGAAAGCCAGCTGGGCGACTCTGTCATTCTCTCAGCTCAACCTACCTCACAGGGTTGTTGTTGAGAAATAGGAGGAGGCAGGTGTGTTAAATATGTTCACTGCCTTATTTGTGAAAATAAAGGTGGGATGTAAATAAATAAAAGGATGTCATCACCCACCCAAAAACCCACTTCTACTCAATTTTGGGTAATTTACCCAGGTTTGGAAAGTAGTGCTGGGACCTGCAAGTTTTAGTCCAAAATCCTAACTTATAAAAACACCCTGGCTACAAGCTTTACTCCAAGAAAACACTTGAAAGCTTTTCATTTTATCAATAGTATTTAACACTTACACAGAACACTAACACTTACACATAGAACACTTACACAGAAGCAAAGCATCCTGAATAATACTTTAAATAAATATTGTTTTATTTATTTGTGCTCTGGGTTTTTCTTTTGTGTAATTGAAAGTAATTCATAAGAGAGTATCTCCTTTTATTTAGATATATTTTGAATAGCACTATTAAAAGTAGAACAACAAATAAATATTGCCTCTCAAGAATAAAATGCATTTCAGGGGAGGGACCGGAAATATCTCAGCGAGACAGACAGAAAACCATGAGCTCTGAAGAGCCTCATGTAAATTCTGGCTGGCAAACCGAATGCAGGGGATCCTTTTTGGATCAGAACTTTCCTGAAGGGAAAGTGAAGAAGGAGCTGCATCTCATTACACCCAGAGGAACGCAATAGGTTCCTGGTAGGTCAGAGATTAGCTCTCTGAATCAGGCCAGGGAAGGCAGCATGGCTAAGCTGAAGCTTCTGGACTAAGCATCTGAACAGGAGCAGTGGGTGGAAGGAATGCGGAAACCTGGTAAGAAGATTTAAATAACCATCTGACACAAATTAGAACTTGGAAAAGGCAAAGAATCTGGTGAGTAGAAAATAATATTGATGGATAGATTGGGATTTTGGCGGAAAGAAAAGAAAGAAGAAAAAAACATTTGTGGTTTAAATCATTTGTTTGTTTTAAACAACTTGGAGAGAGAAATGAGAGAACTGAGAACTGACTGAGACATTGACTGAGACATTGAGATACAAACTTTGGATTTGGATTTGAAAAGATTGTGTCTTTAAAAGAGATTAATTGATAATTGGGAACCTCACAAGGGGAAAGAAGGATGGGGGAATGGAAGCTAAAAATACACCAAGGAGACTAGCTTTGTTTGAACTTGTTCTAATTTACATATCTTAAGCAACTCTAATCAATGAGAGGTGGAAGTTAATAAGAAGGAAAATCAAGAAAAAGCACTATTTTCTTTGTTCATAACTCTATCTTTCCTGGATTTAAAACTGGATTTAAAAATATCAAGTTGTATTGCTGAAAAATCATCGAGTCGAAAGAATACAGAGCCATTTGCTGGAGGGAAGAATAAATAAAGTGAAGCGATTAAGATGTCTCCCCTTCTCTTTCTCTCCATTACAGCTGAACTGGAATATAGAAGCTGAATCAGAATTGGGAAATAAGAAGAAACCGTGGAACTTAAATTATAATTAACTGTAATTTTTGAACTGGACATTATGGAAAGTTGGGAATTTGAATATGTGAAATTATAAAAATGTGCATGAGTCATTAAAATTAAACTTAAATAGAATCCTGAAGTTAGAAATTTAGGAGAGAACAGTAAATGAGGGAAGAAGCGGGGGAGGATAGTGAAATTGTAGAAATAATGGAAAATAGAAAGCAGACAAAAGATTTCACTGGGTTTGACAGTGGCACAGAGAAAATTGAAAAGGGGGGATATGTCCCAACAAGAAAAAGGGAAGGGATTATAGAAGAAAGGAAAAGAAACATCCAGACTAGGAATAGAGAAGAAAGGAAGGAGTGATAAGAAAAAAGAGGAAGAGAAGACAGGGAGACAGAGGATACGTCAAAAGACACAGCAGTGGGAGAGGAAAAGGTTTGAGAAGGAAGAATATATACCCAGTAGAAAGAAAAAGCAGTTTAGAACTTGGGATAAAAGGCTCACTAGCAAGAAATTGGAAATTATTATGGAAATTATTTACTCTTTTACATGATAATTAAATTGAGTTGCTTATTGATTGAATATTACAATGAAAAGATAATGAAATATGCAGTAGGTTAAAATATATGAAATATGGATACACACAGAACTTTTAAGAAGATGAATAAAAGTGAGGTGCGTTATTTTATATAGCAGATCAACGGAATTGTAATAAGCATTGAATAGCAAGGATTGTAATTTAAAGAGAACTAAATGTAAGCTAAGTAAAGATATGGAAAAATGGAGGGGGAATTTGAAATATTCTTATAAAGGAAAACTATTGAGATTATAAAGACAGAACTAAAAATTTGGGGCGTGTAATGATGTACAACTATACAATATTATGATGAGAGTAGCTGGAAATTGTAACCAGGTCCACATTTCGGCCAAAAAATAAGGTTTTTTTTGGGGGGGGGGTTCGGGGGGGAATATGTATGTATGTATGTATGTATGTATGTATGTATGTTTGTGTTTGTGTGTGTGTTTGTGTGTGTGTGTGTGTGTGTGTGTGTTGTATTTGTTACATTTGTAAAAATATTGGGTTTCTGTCTGGATGGTCTCTTGTGACGAGCCGATAGACAGAGAATGGAAGCAGTAAGCTTCCTCCCATATTTGGGCATACCAGGGGTTGTGACACTAATATGTGTGTGTGTTTGTGTGTGTGTGTATAATATATGTATACTTTTCTCTTTTTTTAAAAAAAGGAGGATATACGTTAAATTAAAGATGTTTATTGAAATGAAATTACTAATACCATCAACATAAAATGGAGCCCGCTCAGAGGCTGAAATACACCATGTAAATGAGATGAAGAGTGTGGAAGAGAGGAGAGAGGCAAGAGGAAGAAGAGAGGGTTAGAAGAGAGGGCAGGGGGGAGGAAGAGGAGGAGAGAAAGAAGGAGTGGAAAGAGGAGAGAGGAGAAGGAGAGAGGAAGGGGAAGTAGGCAAGAGAAGGATGATAGAGGGAAGAAAGGAGGTAGGGAGGAGGAGAGAGGGAGAAGAAAATGATGGAAAGGGTACAAATATGATGTATGGACAGCAGAAGAACCAAAGATAGTTCTTGGGGGTTGATGGTAACACAACCTGACATAATATTTAAAATACAAAATAGTGTTAGTTATGTAATGAAATATATGTGGTTATTTGTATGAAAATGAAAAAAAATATTATATAAAAGAGAGTAAAATGCATTTCTATATACTCTCAATAAGATTTTTCATTTAAGTTCATCATCTACATATTCCTTAACCAGTTACAAAAATTCACTGTAGGTAATTTAGTAAGTGGGATTTTTTTTAAAAAAAGCTTGCCCCAAACCTGTTTTGTACTTTAATAAATATGTAAATTATGTATAATTATATATGTTTAATAAAGCAGGCTTAAATTGAATGACTGACTTAAACTGATGGTGTGTCATAATGACCAAAACTGCCTTTTTATAGATAGTTTTCATATAACAATTTGATAAAATCCAGATAACATAAAATTCATCCAAATCCCATAAATGTTCCTAGGAGAGTTGTTCTATAGATTCAACAATACCTAAAATAAAGTTATTTAGGTCCAGGAAGAGCATTTTAGTTTATCATTTTTCTACAACTGCTGACAAGATAATATGAAAAAACTCACAGGAAAAATTAAGAGAATTGTAGAACAATTTACTATTTTAAACCTCTGACTCCAATTTTTACAACACTCAAAAACCTGAAGTCTTTTCCTTCCCTCATTTTCTTTAGTGCAGTTTTTTTTTAATCCCCTTTTTGGGCTCCTATGATTTTGTCTAACAATAACAAATTAATATTTGGTCAATCAACTTCAGGTTGAATCCACGTTTTTTTAATAGCTTTATGAAGTTGACTCTGGAAGAAATCCTTAATTATACAAGGAGATAACATTTTCATGTCTCCTTAACTTTGCATGCCTGTCATTTGTCATTAACTGAGCACTGTGTTATATGCAATACAATGCAGTGAGATGTGTATATTGGTGAAACAAACCACTACTTCACAAGGGCATCGCACAACATAGGAAATCTAACCAATCTATACAATATGGAAATAATTAGGGCTAGAAGCTCAAAAATGTATTTAAAGTATTGATTAAATATAAACACTGTTAAATGTTACAATTTTTATATAGTAACAGTACAAATATTACTGAAAGTCTAAGATAATAGTTTAATCATCTAAAAGTACAAAACAACTTTTGAAGGGAAAAATGGTTAATATGGATAGAAGAACAGAGATAATGACAATGCGTACAAATATGAAATTGCTTAAACAAGCAATTCTCAACCATACTGATTAGTCTTAGTCCCATCAAACAGTAAATCATCAGAAACTATCATCCCCATTAATTAATTTAGCAGTGAATAAATTAAAACTAGTATTGTGTATGTATCATTACCATTGCTATTACCAAAACTACCACTGCTACTATCGTTTTAGATGTTATTATGAATAGTAATAAGAGAAAGACTATGCAGTGCAGAAAATTGAATGGATTCATTAAATGCAATTAAATAACAGCTATAGTCTGAGTAAAGCAAATTACCTGATTGAATTACTAAATTTTGGAAGCTTTTCTTCTGACCGTTCCATGTGATAGCCGTTAGGAATATTTTTCAGTGATACTTGGCTCAGCACATTCTCAGACTGGCTGCTAGTGATGGAGTGCTGCAGGGGACTCCCCAAATCATCATCCATAACCCTGGACATCATTTCACCCTGTTTCTCTGTTGCCCTGGGCTCCAGACCTTCCTTCTGGTTAGTGAGGAATTTCTGTTCTGAAAATTCAGAACTTTCTTTGGTTCTTTGCTGAATAAGAGGTGTGAGTGGAGCTTCAAAACTAACACAGCTGTCTGTCTCATCTGTAAGGGAGAGCACATCCAAGGAGTCCAAGCTGCTGTAGTATGTGCCCTTCATAAGGTCAGATTCCACAATTTTTTCAAAAGTAGAACTGAATCCATCCCTGATGTCTTTGAATGCAAAATTTTCCCTGTCGTGACTGCTGTAACAGAGGTTAGATTCTGCAACAATTAAGCTGAAAAGAAAGGACATATTGGATCAGTTAAAAATTTATGCACAATAGATTCTATTTTTATAGAGTTTAAGGAGGTAATTTAGGACAAAACTAATTTAATTCAATATTTGCAGTTAATCTTTATTTTTGCAATAATCTATAGATCTAAATCCATTTTATAGTAGCACAGCTAAATTATTGCTAATAATTTCTTCTCTATTTTCAAGAATGGAAAATACAGAGTGCTTGATTTCTTTAAAAATTCTACAAGATACTGAAGAGGCAAGATGTTGTCCATGAAGCATGGCCACTGACCATAAGACATAGTTGGATACTTAGAAAAAAATCCAATGTAGCTCTTTCTAAATCTGCTTTGATTTAGATCTGTATCATAAACAAGAGATTTGTATGCTATATCATTAAAGACACAATAGTTCTGCCAGATGTTGGGAAAAGGTTATTGTAAAGCTCTCTTTTATTCTGGTACTTTTGCTTTTCCAGTTAGTTGCATTATTTATATGTTTTCTTTAACTGTCAGAACCCAGCGTTGTTTAGGAAGTAGGTGACCTATAAATTAAGTAAATAAGACTTGGGAAATCGAAGCATTCCATCTCCCAGCAGTAGTTTAAGAGATCTCAGTGTTTTATGCATTATAGAATTAACACTGTCAATTAACACTATCAACATAGAATATACTTAATCAGTAAAGTGTTTCTAGCTTTCCAGTTAAAGAAGAAAGGGTGGGGAGTCTTTTAATTTGTTTTAAAATCATATGCGACTTGTTTTTGTTGCTCTTTTTTAAATAACATGTTATTTCCTGGCATAGTTCCCTTTTCAGTGGGAATTAATTGTGATCAGTTTCAAGGAGCCCCTGATGCTCCATTTCCTATGGCACGTACATCAGGCTCTCAAATCTATTCATCTCTACATTCCCCTAAAAAAATGAAAAGCATGCGACTGAGCAAATATTTGGAAAGTGTCTTCCATAATATTCTTCTAACAATTCCCATAAACCAGAATTAGTGCTCAAAATATTTTAATACACCCTTGGCCCTGAGACTAGATCTAATACTTAACAGAGAAATCTATATTAGCCTATGACCTTCAAAGAGTTTACAATAATTTATCTTAGCATTCCTGTCCAAGATGGCAGAGATTCATAGCCTAAGAAGGCATCTATTGACACCCTATAAGTGTTCCCCAGTTAATGTTCCCTCCTTTTAGTCACTGCAAAAAGATACTTTTGAACTAATGACAGCTACCAAATGCTTGCTTTCTTGGGATTATTCTAAAGTGACAAGGAATTTTGAAGAATTACTGAAAAATAAGAATTAATTTAAGTAATAAATGAATGCTAAACTCTTGCTGTTCCTTGGCATGAAAAAGAATCCCACGATGAAGCCTTCTGAAAATACATTCTAGAACTTTAGTCCTACCAGATCAATGGAAAGATGAATGGTACTGTAGCAGAAACTGCTTCTCATGGTTTCTCTATTTGTTACCTTATGTGTTCTTCTCCATCCTCAGGATAAAACAGCTCAGTAACATCCCGACATGATTGCAAACCATAATTGTTCCTTCTATCATTGAGAAACAACTCATTTGCCAAGATGTTCTCTTTGAAAGCAGCACTGCCAGTCCTTGGAGTGGATGGAGTTTGTGCTCTGTCTTTATCATTTTCTATACCAGGCTTTGATTCAGCATGTAACCCATTTGTGTGCATTATGTTGCTGGTGCTGTCACTGTTGGCTCCTAATTGTTCTTGCTGACCATTGCTCTTCTGCATACTCATCTCCTGCCACACATCTATTTCCACTTCCTCTTGTTTGCTTGCATTACCCAGGCAGTCATCATCTGTCTGGGTTCTGTTCTCCATTGCTCTGAAAGACTCGGCATCATTCTGAATACTGGATGTGATAGCTGGAGCATCCGTAGGCTCTGTAAGCTGCTCCATCTTATTAGACACGATCATGGCTAGTTGAAACCCGGAGATATTTGATTCATTACACTCTGCAGTTGGCAGTGGAATATTTCCACTCATCTTTGACTGATTATAACTTGTCCTGGGTTCCTCTGCCTTTTTTCTTGATTGTGACCCTGCAGCCTGTGGTGACAAGAAAAAAACAACTACTTAAATTTGTTACAAAGTGATTTTTAAAAACTCAAATTCTTAAAATAGTGGTAACATAAAATAGCGGTAACATTTTAAAACATTAAAAGATATAAATCTGCCAACTGTGGACACTCCTGCAGATGATGAGATAGTTTAGCTCACAGCAAAATAATTGCTTATTGTAACTATCCTTCACAGAGTTCTAATATCTCACAACATTAATTACATGTTTGGATACACAAGCTGGATTTTGACAGTTAATAGTTAAAAGTTAAAACCAGTAGCAGGGGCAAAAAAGCACAGCAGGGGTTCAGCACTTCAGTTTGAAAGTCAAAAAGGTCCCTTTGGTGCACAGGGGACGCAAACGTAACCCTTGTCTATATCTCCTTAAAACAGCCGCGCCTTTTCCCAGGATCAAGCAAAATGGGATTTGCTCTAAAGAGTTGCAGAGAAGCTTTCCATTTGTGTCCCTGCACCCTCTGAGGCTTTCAAATATGGAGTCCCGCAGAGGCTTAACAATTATTCATTGCTGCCCTTGAAATAGAAAGCTATTGCCAACTTCCAGGAGGTTGTGAACAAAAAGTAAGATGTTTCCTTGGAAGGAAATTTCCGAGACTAAAAGGCTGTCTCCCTGAACTAACTAGAGAGATCTTGAGGCCTCCAAGAATGATCTGAAAAAAATGAAAAGTTTAAATAGGAGAGGTAACTCTTTTAAATATTTGTACTGTAAATTGTGAGCTTGTTCTAAACCATTCAGGTCAACAGAATTCTTTAAATTGCTGCAATTTCAAGTTATTCTACTTCACTAGTATTAACAAACAGCATATAACAATCTAGACCAGTGGTTCTCAACCTGTGGTCTGCGGACCTCTGGGGGGCTATAATGTCATCACAGAGGGTCTGCAAAGGCTTAAAGAAATGTTATGATTTAAATCTTGATGGTCTTTAAGTCTTGATGGTCTGTTGCCAAAGTCCATGGCCACAAAAGGTATTAAAAGACCAATTTTTATTCCTGAATGCAGTCTATTTCAACTAGAATGGATTTTTGCATTAATTGGAATGCTGCATTTTCCTTCTGATTTCAAAGAACCTGAATCCAGCCTAAATCAACCCAATTCAGTAATGTCTAAAAGCAACTGATTTTTTTAAAAAAAATCACAATTCACTCTTTTTTCAAATTGCTCCATTTGTTAACTGTTTACATTTTTAAACACTTAGATGAGAGGATTGAAGTGGCACTAAACAAATCTGTAGATGAAACAAAAAAGGGGGAAGTCAGAAGGTAGATTCAAGATTCAGAAGGATTTTGACAGACTTGAGCATTGGGCCCTATCCAACAAGATCCAGTTCAATGGCAAGAAAACTAAAGTCTTGCATTTAGGCACAAAAAACAAACACATACGTATAGGATAGTACGTATATGTCTAAAAAGTAATGCTTTATGAGAGGGATCTAGGTGTCCTGGCGGATGACCACTTAAATATAATTCAGCAGTGTGCTGCAGTTTCCAAAAAGCCAACACAGGGTTTGGACACATCAACAGGGAGATAGTATCGTATTACCATACTATTATACACTAGTGGAGCCACATTTGGAATATTGCATCCAATTCTTGTCACCACAACACAAAAAGGATTCTGAGGTTCTGCAAAGAGTGCAGAGAAGAGCACAAAAATGATAAAGTGTCTGGAAACTAAATCCTATGAAGACCAGCTAAAGAACTAAGGTATGTTTAGCTTAATGAAGAGAAGACTAAGGAGAGAAATGATAACAATCTTCCAATACTTAAAGGGCTGATGTAGGGAAGAGGGCACTAATTTATTCTCCATAGCACCTGAGGATAGGACAAGAAGTAAATGGTGGAAGCTCATCAGAGAGAAATTCAACTTGGAAATAAGGAGGAATTTCCTGACAGTAAAAACCATTAAGCAATTGAATGGCTTGCATCCCAGAGTTGTGGAAATTTTCAAGAAAAGATTGGACAATCATTTTCTCAAGATGGTATGGGCAGGGGGTAGGACTAGAACACCTTTAAGGTCCCTTCCAGCCTATGATTTATGTCCTTTGGTCTTCTCAGTCCGGTTAGATTTTCTCAGACCAGAATACTAACTTATGCCTTATTGACCATTTAGTTGGAGTACTGAAACTCCATGTGGGCTGCCTTTGGAGATAATTCTGAAGCTAGAACCAGTACAGAATGCAGCATTTATTGGCAGATTGTCCTAGCCAGTCTAGGCATCTAGAGAGAGAGACTTTCCAAGATCCTTCTACATGAGTTTTGTGAGGTGTGAACTAGATCAGTGTTTCTCAACCTTGGCAACTTGAAGATGTCCGGACTTCAACTCCCAGAATTCCCCAGCCAGCGTATGCTGGCTGGGGAATTC